CTAGAGTTACAGGATGTCGGGGTTTCTGGTAGTGATGCACTTCTACCTTTGCCTTCTTTAGGCGCTTTATTGATTTCTGCTTCACCAGTTTCTTCACCATCTTCTTTCTAATCGGTTGCTCACATGATTCTTTCGTAAGCTTGACTTGTTGCGTCTTCGCCTAGTCATAAGAATCCAGCCTTCATCACCATTTATATCAACTTGAGATTTGTCTAGCTCCAATGACTCTTCTTCATGCTTTTCAATGATACATATTTGGACGGGATCGAGCGATCCGAATGTGATGGAGATTTGATTAGAACTAGCTTTCTCATCAATAAAGGACAATCTTCTTTTCTCTAACCAATCGCATCACTCTATCCTTGAAGACAAAACATTTTTCAAGAGGATGACTCACAAGTCTATGATACTTGCAATAATTTGGGTCATCAGTTTTTCCAGCTTCATTAGACCGCTTCATCTCTGGCAACTCAATGAGCTTTAATTTAAGCAACTCATCAAAAATATCATAAATGTCAGAATCCAAGAAGGGGTATTCCTTTTCTTGCATTTCCCTTAGGATCGATTTTGGTTTAAACGCGCTTGGAAATTCGTTCTCACACTTTGCTTCTTCCCTTCCTTCGTAGTGAACTTCACAAGCGACACATTAACATTCATTTACTCTTTGTTGTCGTTCTTGGGCACAAATTTGCTCCATCTCTTAAGTTCCTGCTTGTCTCTCTTTGCGAGGGTCATGGACAAACGTCATATCTTTTCCGGCAGAGGACATGCTCAACTCCATATCATCAGCGTGAGTAGCTAGATCTTCAAAGGATTTTGGTTTTATTCCATGTAAGATATAAAAAGGCTCTCAGTCCATCCCTTGGATACACATTTCTATTGCAGAAGCTTCACTAAGCCTATCCTTGCAATTCAGGCTCGCGTTCCTACCATCGATTTATGAAGTCTATGACTGGTTCATCCTCCTTGGCAAGTATTCGTAAGTTCACCATGCTCACAGTACGCCTCATGCTATAGAATCAATTGAGAAACTCGTGCTCCAGTTGCTCCCAACTATCAATAGAATTGGGTTCAAGATCCGTGTACCAATCAAAGGCATTTCCTTTTAGAAACCGGACAAACTGCTTAACAAGATAGTCTCCATATGTTCCAACATTATTACATGTCTCCACAAAGTGTGCAACATGTTGCTTCGGATTTCCTCTACCCTCAAATTGTTGAAATTTGGGAGGTTGATAACCAGCAGGCATTTTTAAGTTATCAATTCTTGCGGTGTATGGCTTGGCATACATATAAGAAGACTTGGTGAAGACTTCATACTTATCTTTGATAGTGCCTTCAATGAACTCCTTAAAGCGATAGAGTGGGATCATTCTTTCAGAAGAAACTGGCATCTCATTAACAAAGGGTGCTTTCTTCGTAGGATCTCCAATCTCTTGAACTTCAACATATTTTTCGGGCGCATAACTCGCTTCTCCATCTAAAATTCCTTCCATTCGATCCATCAACTTATCGATTCTAGACTATTGGTGTTGTACATGCTTTGTCAACCCTTCAACCAACTTCGTCAGATTTGCGAGTTGTTCTTCAGAGGAAGAAACAACAACCACCATTGTTTGCATGATCATTGGAGATGTAGGAGAGTAGCATGGATTGTCGCGTAAGTTGATCTTCAGCGGATTCACATTACACGATGCACGTGGAGGTGACTCATTCGTTGAATCATAGCTCCTATGTGGTAGCGTTCTTGGAACCAGATTGCTCAAGGAGAGCCAATGTCTTCTTGATCTTTTCAGTAACACTACTTCTTCCTTCTAAAGCGTTTGCGGAGGAACTTGATATTTTTGGAGTCGTAGACCCAAAAACTGGAGTTGATGCGGATGATACTTGAAGTGTTTGTTGTCCTAGTGTAGCAGTCTTGCTTCTCGTAACAGCTCCGAAACTTCCAAAGGTAACACCCAAAATGCCTTCAACTTCAGTAGAGAACTTGGAGCTAGTGGCCTTAGAGGCAGTTGATCGAGAGTTATTCTTCGTGGAAGTCATCTCGATACTCTTTGATGCTTGAAAAGTTTAGATGAGAGGTAGAGATTGTCCCACTGGGCGTGCCAGAATTTGTAGACAATAAAATTTTGTGGGACTCTACAAGACGTATTCAATTCGAATTGAGACTCTAGAAGGTGCATTCAGTTTCAATTAGAATTCTTAGAGGCTACTCAACCCTAAACCCTAGTTTATGCCTATATAAAGGGTACTGAATTCTCTTAAAAGGCACCTCAAAAATTTCATAAAGAGATCGAGATCTCGATATATTCCACAAAAGTCATGGAATATTCATATAGAGGTCAAATTTAAATCATCCTAGTTCAAGAAATACGCCACTAACGGCCCTCGAATCATGGATAAATCTTATGAGAGTAGAATCAAGGGAGGAACAGAATTGTACTCGCATTGATGAATAAAATATTATACTTCTTCAGATTTTATTTGTGTGGTTTATTTATTTTTCATATATTTAAAATTTGTTGCAAACAAATTGGTATGCCCAGTGGGACCAAATTTGTCCTTCATCTCTTCTCTCATAAATCAAATCTGAAAATCTGAAGCTGCAAAGGTGGAAGAATGAGTACTTTAAGCCTCGTCTTTGACTTTCATCGAGTCTACACTCTGACATGCCTTGAAGCAAGGGGCATTTGTAGACATTGAAATTTTGTGGAACTCTACAAGACGTGTTCAATTCGAATTGAGACTCTAGAAGGTATGTTCAGTTTCAATTAGAATTCTCGTAGGCTACTCAACCCTAAACCCTAGTTCATGCCTATATAAAGAAAACTAAATTCTCTTAAAAGGCATCTCGAAAATTCCATAAAGAGATCGAAATCTCGAAAATTTTGTAAAGAGATCGAAATCTCGAATATTCCGCAAATTGATGGAATATTCATATAGAGGCCAAATTTAAATCATCTTAGTTCGAGAAATACGCCACTAACGGTCCTCGAATCATGGATAAATCTCAGGAGAGTAGAATCAAGGGAGGAACAGAATTGTACCCGCATTGATTTATCAATAAAATTCACATTTCTTCATATTTTATTTGTGTGGTTCATTTGTTTTCCATATATTTAAAAATTTGTTGCAAACACCGTCATTTCAAAGTGTGAGGACTGACCAAATTAATTATCTACTCCATAACTTGGAACAATATTCCTCTCTTGCTAAGGTAAACCGATACAAAATATAATAATAATAATAATAATAATACTAATAAGAATAATAAATCATATAAATTAATAAATAATTGACAAAATCAACAAATAATAATCGAAATATAACTATTGAGCATTACCGGTCACTTTCATTGAAAATTTCGTTCAAATCAAAATCATATCGACCGGTAAGAATATTTTGATAATGAGTCATGTTAGGAAAATCAGTAGATTGAGTTATCGAAAATCCATCAACGCTATTATAATTTTCTAATCGGGGATGGACATCGACCGATAAAGGAGAACGTTGTTGACTAGTCTTAGGCTCTTTCCTAACATAGATTTCAAGTATTGTTAACTTGATTTGATCTACGTAGTCATTTGGAACCCTCAGAAAGTCGGTCAACGATTCGTCATTATAGATAATTCACTCTCCAAAATTTACTTGTCCTTGTGATAAAAATGAAGTAGGGTATTTATACCCATTTTTTAATAAATTGATGGAAAAAAATTATGATATTGGCCATTAATTGAATATTTAGCATTGTGTTTGGGAGGACAATTATAATAAATGGTATTTTCGTCATGTATAATTTCGCCATCCCAATAAATCGAAATTCTAACTTTTGGTTGAGAAGACATTTTTTTTGAGATTGAAATGAAGAAAGATAGAAGACTACAGATGTTGAAGGTGTTATGTTTGAACGTCCTTAAATAGAGCTTGGAGGAGTTTTGAAAATAAAAAAATAAAAATACATAATGTAATAATTTTTTCCATTTTTATGATAAGTCAAATCAATATAATTGTATGACAAACACTACAAAAGCTTCATAAAGAGATACAATTCAATGCAAAACGTGAAAAATATTCCTCTTCGTAAAACAAAAAATTTTCTTTCACTTTATAAAATGTAAGAAAAAGTTCCACTTTACAAAATGTAAGAAAAACTTACACTTTACAAAGTGTAAGAAATTGTTCCGTTTTACAAGATGTAAAAAATAGTTCCGTTATATATTAAAATATACACGTTATGAGACTAACGAAAAATGTTTGAAATATTGCATAAAACGGAATATTTTCTTCCACTAAGCTTAATTTAGTTACTTGCTAGAATAGTGACTTATTTTGATCACTTTTATTTTTTTGTGGCTTATTTAGCTTCCGGACTCTGCTTGAGCACCCATTAATCCGACGTAACCTCGTATATATATATATATAAAAAAAAAAAACATTATAAGATAGATATATTAAGACATCAACATCAAGTGATCAAAAGCTTGATAGGTACTTTGATTCAATTGTTGACCTGAAGGTCTCCCTAGGGAGATGAGCTACGCTTCAAAATTCAAATGTTTTCTTCTAATTCTCTAATACAATTTTTATTCCTTTTCCTCCATTTATACTTTATTTATTTACTTTAAGTTTAGTTTTAATTTTTTTTTATATTTATGTGATTTCTTGAAATAAAAAAAATTGTCTGGCTAAAAAATCTCTCAAGATAATTCATTTTTTTCTAAGAAATGAAAGAGTTTCTTAACTTCATCATTTTGATAGTTATGCACTTATACAATTATATTATGCAATTTATAGTAATTTTATATTAAGAAAAGCAAACACCCATAAACTTAAAATTATAGATCCGTCACTAATTAAATAATTAAAATTAAGAAAAGAATAAAAGAAATTAATAGAAGTGCAATCACTGAAACAATTATGACCTAGATATTTTATTAATACGAATAATTTTTTATTATTATGAACCATAGTTATCATCATGTCGTGAACCTTATTTCTACATTAGTAAACAACTATCATAATTTAATTACCTTTTAGAATTTTACAATATAATATAATGCAGTTGCTCCTCTAAAACATTCCTTGTATACTAATCTTCGTATAAAAAAAAGTGATGCAGAAATCTTTGTACCTAATGCTTTAACGCGTAGACTTTTCTCCAGAAAAAAACTTGGCGGTGCCATTGCAGCACAAATCTTGAAATTGTCCATTCCTCAAACCCCAAAAAAAGTGACAAAGGAACAAGAGTTGTTTGAGCTGAATCAAGAATGGATCTGCCAGCAGAAGAGCTTCAATTCTTGACTATACCTGATATTTTTCAAGAATCAATCTCCATACCTAAGAGATCTCCAAAAACATTCTACCTTATTACCCTTACTTTAGTATTTCCTTTATCTTTTGCAATCTTGGCACATTCTTTGTTCACTCATCCAATCATTACTCAGCTTCAACAAAACCCAAATTCATCTCATGCTTCTCAATGGACAAAGCTCATTGTTTTTCAGTTTTTTTATCTGCTTTTCTTGTTTGCTTTCTCTTTGCTTTCAACTGCTGCTGTTGTTTTCACTGTAGCATCAATTTACACTGCAAAGCCTGTCTCTTTTTCATCTACCTTAGCTGCAATTCCCAGTGTTTTCAAGAGGCTTTTCATTACCTTCATATGGGTTTCTCTTTCTATGTTGGCTTATAACACTGTTTTCTTGATTTTTCTTGTGCTTCTCATTGTAGCAGCAGATACCCAGAATGTGGTTTTGTTCCTTTTCTCCTTTTTGGTTGTCTTTATACTCTTTCTTGTAGTTCATGTTTACTTCAGTGCATTGTGGCATTTAGCCAGTGTGGTGTCTGTTCTTGAGCCTATTTATGGTATAGGAGCTATGAAGAAGAGCTATCACTTGTTGAAAGGGAAGACAGGAATGGCATTTTTCTTTGTTTTTGGATATTTGTCTATTTGTGGGGTAATTAATGGGTTTTTTGGGTCTGTTGTGGTGCATGGAGGTGAAAGTTATGGTGTGATTTCAAGGATTTTGATTGGTGGGTTCTTGGTTGGAGTATTGGTGATTGTGAATCTTGTGGGGCTTTTGATGCAAAGTGTGTTTTACTATGTTTGCAAGAGCTACCATCATCAAGGGATAGATAAGACTGCTCTCTATGATCATCTTGGTGGATACCTTGGGGAGTATGTGCCTCTGAAAAGCAGCGTGCAGATGGAGAACTTAGAAGGCGGTCCCTTGACGCCATGATGGTGAGAAAGGCTGAATCCTTGTGCTTTCATTCGAATTTGTTGCATGATATATTGGCAAGAGGAATCGTAAAGACATTAACTTTGAAGTAGGTTGTTGTGTTTTGGCACTTGAATTTGTTTGTATACATAATAAGTAACTTTGCTCTTTGTGCTTTCTTGATAAATTCCATTAATATGCACCAATAGTGTTTATAACAAAGCTCTGTGTTCTTTGTACATGTTAAAATATATCTATTGATAATTGTTATGCTATGTGATTGTTCGCCACCAGAGGTGGACAAATATCATATACTGCGTATGACTGCTCCGCTGTTGTTTATAGAAAGAAAGTTATACCATTGTTCATTGTATCGATTGAGATAAATTTGTCCAACTTTGTCTCTTATGTTGTACTCAACTTGTCAAGTCTTCTCTTTGTTTTCCTGTGCTTATATCTCCTCAGAATACCAGTGGAGATCGAAATTTAATTTTTAACTAAGCTGAGTGATTTAAATAGATATAGAAATAATAAGGGTTTGGCCTACCTGTAATAACTGAGTTGGTACTTTTGCTATTTCAGCCTCACCAAACCTCTGCATTGCCGTAGAACTGATTCCTTTTTTTCCCCTCAAGGATTGGAATGGTAATCTTCTATGATAGTCTAACTAGCTTCACTCCTTTTTGTGGGGCAGTTTACTTGAAAAACAAATAAAAGAAAAGGCGAGGAATCGCCTCATTGGACAGAAAAGCTCACACTTCATTGTGTGTCTTTTGTTAGGAAATTGGTGGGGAGAAGAGAGGGGGAAATTCTCAACCTTCACCATATTATATTAAGTGTGTAAGTGAAGGAACTGTCTTGGACTCAGTTTTGTGAAATATTCTTTTGACGGTAATATGCTAACAAAATATGTTCTTTGCTTCTGGTTATGCAGAACTTCAGTTTAATTTAGTGTACACCACTTAAACTAGTGAAATAGTTTTGCTAGGAAGTCTCACAGCATTATGTGTACTAACTTAAAGCAGCTATCCATGTTTTAGTCTTTCCTCCTTTCTCCTTTTCACTGGATATTAGTCTTTTGGGATAATGGTCAAAATACACTTGAACTATCACTTTTTTCGCGAATTTTACATCCCATCTATCAACTATTTCCTTTTCCTATCTGAACTATCACCATCTATGTATTAAAACACACCTAGTTGAGTAGATGGTGATAGTTCAGGTAGGAAAAGGGAACAATTGAAAGTTGCAGCTACTAGAAAATATTGAACAATTATATTGAGATGGAGTGATGTACTTGGGTAAGTGGGTGGGGGTTGAAATCTAAGCTACTTCGATGGAGTGATGTCCTTGGGTTACCTCCACATAGCCTCCAATGTCTGGATGGTCCTCTTTGACTGGCCATAGGTCTGAGGACAAAATGTTGTGCTAAGTACTCTGCTACCGAAAGCCTTTTGGATGCTCTGCCACAAGGCTAAAGTGAACCCTGGATATTTGATTGATACTATGGATGATGGTATCCTGTGTAGGCTCACTATCTCATTATGGAACAGTATTTCAGTATGTATATGTTGGCTAGGTCTAAGAAACTCAGAGATGTCACAAACCCAAATTGGAAAAAAGATATATATAATGTCTTTTTGGCATAACATGGTAGTTGTAGATGAAGCTGAAAAGTTTTCTTGATTTCTTAACTGCCCTAGAGGAGTAGCAAAGGTAGGGGTGGACGTTAGGTCGTTCAGATTGGATATGAAAATTTCAGTTTGGATTTTCCGGTTCTCAGAGTGAAGAAATTACAATCCAAATAAACTCGAATTGGATTCGATTTTTTTAAGTTCGGTTTTGGATTAAATGGTTTGGATGTTTTTGACTTTTCAGTTTCGACTTTAGAGCCTTTGGGGCAGGCCATAACAATTAACAACCTCAATTCGCCTAATAGTTTGCTCCTTATAATGTATAGCTTTCTACCGTTAACAAGGATGGAGGCCACCCTGCTGTCCATGCCGTGTAATTCCATATTGAACTTACTATTATAATGGGTATGGCCATAGGTATTAATCTAATATCTATTGGATCTTTGGAAATTGGATTTAATAGCATTGGACACATTTGATATGGGTAGGGCTGAATATAATGTATAAAATTTTTGGTTGGATATCCAAAATTCCGTAGTACTAAATCCGATATCCAATCCATAATCCAAAAAGTTTGGACTGCGGGTTGACCCAAACTAAGCCCACCCCTAAGCAAGTGTTCTGCATATACAATAATTCTTAGTTCTATTTTGTGTTGATAAAATTGTTTATTTAGATGCAAAGGCAGTGGCTTTCGACATAGAAAAAGAACATCTAGTGGCAATTAAAATCAGAGACTAAAGTTCAATTTTACTTTGAGAAATTAAAGCGCACTGGAATAACATGATTGTAGTACAATTTGAGATTTCCTTCAGGAGCTACTAGTCCAATATTGACAATTTGAATTACGTGATCATACTACAATTGGATTTCCTTCAAAAGGAAACTAGATATCCATTTTGTGAAGTAGCTTGAACAGTTTAGTTACTTAGTTCCACAGTTCTAATTGGCTGTGAGCATGTCAATGGACCTTTAGTTATGTCGGGTTATAATCATAATATAGTTTTGGAAGATACACTCATGATGAAGCTAGCTTAAAGAACAAGAAGTAGCTTGTAAGAGGATTCGGAAAGACTTGCAAGAAAAAAGGATTCGAGGAGGAATATAGCCTTCTTTACATCAAACCTTAGCTAACAGAACTATCTATTACGAGCTCATTTGGATTTGGCTTATTTTAAGTGCTTTTAAGCTAAAATAGCTTTTAAGCATTTTTGGAGTGTTTGGGTAAGTTTAAAAAAAAGTGGCTTATAAGCACTTAGTTTTAAGCTAAAGTACTAAACATAAGCCAAAAATGAAAAACCAATCCAAACAGGCTCTAACTCAGAACCTGGCAGTTACTGCCACTGCAGATGCTCGCTCCTGCTAATTCTTGTGCATTTTCCTGGTATTTGGACGTGGATCTTGCTGTTGGGTTGGCCTCCTGGATTGTCAATGTTTTCTGGTCAAGCCTTCTACTTATGATGAAACAGTTATCAATCCTGCAATACATAGATCCAGAAAGTCTTTATTCTCTTTTGGATAGTGGTTCTATTTCAATGTCTTTAGATTCAGTGAAATCCTGTAGGGGTACATTTTGGACATTGATTGAAGTTCTTTCAGCATGTTCAACATATACAATATGCTACTATATAGTGTGGTTGGTCCTGGAGGCATTGAACATTGTACGGTATGCAACAATAAGTCTAATATGTCCATGGAGCACTTAGTTTCTCTTGAGAACTTGTTTTGGCTCATAGAGTGAGAAGTTTGCTTTTGTGTTTCTCTGTGATTTGATTTCAACATGGTTACCGTCGATTTTGTTGTTTCTCCTTGATGAACTTGCATGTAATTAGCCCGACACATTTAGTTCAGCTGGATGTGGGTAACATGACATGAGAAAGGAGATATATGTTGGCATCATCATTATGCATAGGTAAGTTGCAATGGCAAGGATAACAAAATTTCAAGTCAGTTGCCACCTGATGTCCTTTGTTTTGGACACTTCCAAGCAACGTACTGGCCAAGACGGTCAGTCTTACATGACAATGGAAATGATGTGAGGAATGCCTCACTACTAAGAATTGAAAGTTTTTTAAAAAGGTAGGGGAAGACGCTAGGGTGGTGTTGTGAAAAGGGATCTTGGCATATAAATGTAAGTTTAGTTATAGATTCAGAGAAAACGTATGATAGCTAAATAAAATGCTTAAACTGGCGGAAATTTGAACTATCCGTTTGATGGATGATTTGGAATGAACAACGTTTTTCACTCTCCTATATGGTTTCTTCATTGTTTTAAAAGGCATTAATAAGTTTTCTGCAACTTGTTAATGTTTTTCTGCTAATTTTTATTTTGCCTATGGATCTTGTGTGAGATTTCTTCTGTAAAAGTGTAGTTGAAATTGTGTTTCTTTAAGTTTGTATATTGTTATAACAGGTGAAGGATCTATGCAGATAAGCAGAGCTTTGAAGACTGCCTTGATTATCAGACAGAGTCTATAGGCCTTTTTCTTTCCTATATTTTGAAATTCATTCTCTTTTGTGATAAAAATTACAGAAACTTTTTATCATTTTAGTTCACTATTCATTAGTCTTTAGTTTTTTTGGTTCAAAAAGTACATACTAATTAAGCTTGTTTAATTTGAATTACTTAAACTATTACATTTACTACTACTATATGAGTCTTGCTTTGTGTCACATCACACTAACATAGTCTATTACATGTAAAAAGTCTACACTATTTGTATATACATATATATATTTTATATAAATTAGATAACTGAAATATTCAAATCTTTAACCATCCCCGTCATCAATATTCAAATAATTAATCATAATTGACGTAGAAGAATAATGCAATGTTTGAGTTGTCTATGCCAAGTCCTCTACCGAATAGTAGGGTCAACTCTCTGCTGTACATTCTTAAGGAAATAATTTTATGAGTTTTAAATTTTAGAACGAAGACGATAATAGAATTTTATACTTAATAAGTTTTTATTAAACACAAATGTTATTTGAGTAGAAGGATTCAGATATGAAGTATGTCTAATTTTCTGTTTAAGCAAATCACTGCCTTACTCGTTACGATCAAAATTTAAATAAATACAGAGTTTATCGTATCAGATTATTTTACCAAATATAATGTTCAAACAGACGATATATATTTCATCTTTTTCTTTTATATTAGAAAAATAAGTCACGTATACCGACCGCTATTACGTATGTATTGTAAAAGGGAAAAAACGTTTATGCAGTGGGTATTAAAAGCAAAGACCAAATGGAAGTTTGCTGCTTATATCTTCTAATAATAACAACACTTGCTTTCACATCAATATCGATAAATAATTTAAATTAAAAGCATATCCTTTTGGATATTCCATTTTTGTATTAAATGTGCTTATGTTGAAAAAAAAACCACACAATAGGTTAACTACCACTCGGCTCCTCTGAGTAACGGAGCCAGGATTTATGGATTAAAAAAACATGCTAAATAGTGTTGACAAATAAGTTGTATCAGATTTTAAGTTAAAACATAAGAAAATGTTACTAGCTAGATTCAACATTTTCGATCTTATGAGAGACAGACCCACATTTAAGTGAACTTCGGAAAAATTCATATGTATATAGAGAAAAGACATAAAGTCGTCACTGAAGTTGTTCCGATTTTTCAAAAAGACACGTTAACTTTGCAATCGTCCTATTACCCCCACTAAACAGTTTTGAACAGATATTATTATATCATTTTTCGATCAGCTCCAGATTTTAAGAAAGTGTGTTCACACACCAATCATTACATGACACGTGTTAATTTAATTAAAAATATAATTTTTTTTCATTTTAACTTTTTTCTTTATCTTTTTTTTTCTTTCTCTCTCACTTTTACTTTTTGACTTATTTTAGTTTTGATTTCATCTTAAATTTCACTTCATCTTCCACCTCCTACTTTCAAGTGATACATCCCTCCATTTTCATTCTTTTTCTTCACTTCCCACCCTCACCCCATCCACCACGTCAAGTTGAACCCCACTCTTCTTCTTCTTCTTCTTCTTCTTCTTAGAATTCATACTATTTTTTAGACTTTATTGAATTATTGATAACAAAATTAATTATTTTTCTAAGAAAATTGAAAATTTTGAAGATATCATCAACTACTCTTTTTCATATAACTTCAAAATTAGAAATGATAATTTTAAAAGAATCAATGAATTCCCCGAAAATTGAAAGAACTTAATTGAAATCGGATAAAAAAAACTATATGATAATTCCTAATCATCTCGAAATCTAATGAGTTTATCAAATTGTTCGAAATGTAAGAAATTATTAAGTTAAAGTTTAAAATTAAAGAGAGTAAAACTAATAGTAGTAAAAAAACGAAGGTGAAGTTGTGGGTAAAAAATGGTGACATTAAAAAGTGAGAAGCTTCAATGGAGATGACAATGAATTTTTGAAGAAGAAAAAGGAAAAAATAAAAAGGAAAAAAGTTAAAATAATAAGAAAAATAAGAAAATATATTTTATAATAAAGTACTTGTAAAAATAAATTATATTAGTTCATTTAGGTTGCTCACTCTCTTTGAGAGAATGCACACCACTCTCAATGCCAGGTAGACGAAAAATGATATAATAATACCGGTTCAAAATTGTTTAGTGAGGTATTATGACGATTGCAAAGTTAAGGTGTCTTTTTGAAAATCTAGAACAACTTCGGTGGTGCCTTTACATATTTTCTCTATGTATATACCTAAATAAGGATCATATAATTCAATGTGCACCTTGAAACACATAAGTGAGATTTAAACTAGCAACTTTAAAGCATACACTGTAGGTCAAGACCATCCAATCATAGAGTGATCTATGTTACATTTTGTTTGATTCATATTTTTATATACCTTCGATTTTATATTTGTTTGACATATTTTCCGATGAAGTGTCGATGCTTCGACTAACCCACATCCATTGTTAGTAGTTTTACCTCCTGTATTCAGGTTAGTAAAACAGAAATAAAAAAAATTGAAATTGAAAGACAAAAAATAAAACAATTCAAGTCCACAGAATCCACTGTGTATCCTCAAGAAATTTAATCCCCTCAAGTACCCGAGGTTGTAGATTAATTCCTCCCAAGATAAAACGGATTAACCATTAAAGAGTAGTAGTGGTACCTCAAACTTGGATAATTTCAAAGAATTGAATAATCAGCAACGAGATCACACACACAGACTCATTCAATCACATCACTTGCCAAAGCCGAAGCTGAAGACCAAGCCGAGATCGAGACCGAGCAAGCGCGACAACGGCGCGAGGGGCACCCTCTACTTAACTCTGTTAGAGCTAAAGGAAATGTTTCCTAATATAAAGACAATTTTTTTCTTTTCTTCTACCAATTCTACCAATATGAGAAAAATGACTTTTCATTTTCCCTCTAAATTGGTTCCCCATATTTTCCAATTTCGCATTCTTATTTCTCATTCACACCTTGCTTCAATCCAACAAATAGTGCTCCCCTTATCTTCAAATCCTGAATTCACCTCTGCACTTATAATCCTCACCCTTGTTATTTTACTATGAAAATTAACAGTCCAATATAGTACTCTTTTACGAGAGTACATGAGCAAATATGATTTATTGGGTAAAATATTTGACCCTTTCTTTTTCCCTTTTTAGGTATTGTGATTGACATTAGTGGGGAAAAGGAGTACATTGTTATGGAATATGGAGGGGCCAATGGGAGGAATGTGTGTCCACCAAATGAAGGCAATAAGACATGAATTATTTACAAGATGACAAATTATGTAATGTGGTGGGCTATCTAAGAAGAAAAACACTCAAAATCCATGGTGGTCCCTCACTTTTTGGCTAAAGACAAAAAACAAAATAATGATTTTAACATTATATTAAACTAGTTAAATTTTCCCCTCATGCTAATAAATCTAACTACTAATAATAATGCTCTCAAAAACCTAGTAATTATTTACTAACTATTATCCATTAAATACCATTATCTTATAATGGTGTGATTATGAGTAATTTCCCTAGATAGTCACTCATGTTTGAGAAATTACCTAGTAATATTACTTATGTTTGTTTTAGGACTACAATATCACCCAACTTTACATATTTTCTTTAAAATATACTTGACACAAAAAAAATATTATTCTCTCTCCTATTGGAATGTCATGTCACATTTTCATTTTTTCTTAAAATATTTAACTTTTAAAATAACTCATATGTTATATTCCAGAGAAAAAAAGTCTTAATTATTTATCATTTTTAGTTTTTTTTACTTAAGCATATTAAGAGATAGACATTTTTTTCTATTATTACATTTAAGATTAATTATTTTTCTAAATCATTTCTCAAATCATTCCTTATTTAATTTCTTAAAGAATATGCAAGTGCACACTTTTAATGGGATTTCATGTTATATTATTCCTTTTTATAATAATATTTTTAAAAAATTTTAAACTGAAAAATTTAGTTTCTACTCCTTCCGTCCATCTTCACATATTTACTTGTTCAATATTAATTTGACATATCTCTTAAGAAATAATAAAGATAATTTTACTATATCAATCTTTTAAAATAATAAATTTTATATTTTAAAAAATGCATTGGCAAATGACTATAATTAATAATAAGAGCGAATTAGAAATTAAGTAATAAATTATCACTTGATTTTCTAAAGTAAACAAGTCACAAATGACTAATTATTTATAACGTAATGAATAAATAAAAATGGACAGAGAGAATAGTTGGTAGAAAAATATCCGTGGAAAGAGTTAGTTGATATAATACTCTTGATTTTTTATGAGTACGTGAAAATTGTTCTCTAACGCCACTTTTTTGTTGTTCATTTTTACTTATTTTTAGTGTTCACCTTGCACATTTTATAAGAGCTTAAAGAATGAATGATTTGAAAAATGATTTAGAATAAATAATTAGTGTTAATTGTAATAACAAAAAATAAATATGAGTTGTTTAAAAATGTTCTATTTGTGTTATGTAATTATTATTTTAACCGAGTATATCATATGGGTTGATTTAAAAAGTTAATTTTTTTAATTATTAGTAAAAAAGGAATAATGTGACATAGGAGAGAGAAAAGTATTTTTTTTTTGTGTCAAGTATATTTTGAGGAAAATATGCAAAAATGAGTGATATTATAGTCCTAAAACAAACAAAAGTGATATTATAAGGTAATTTTCCAAACATGGGTGACTATTTAGAAAAATTACTCATGTGATTATTGTAGCACATTTGTTTATTAATTAATGGTTAATCAAAAATAGACATATGACAAATTATTATGCCTCAATAATCACAGAAGTATAATACCTATTTAATACTTTTATCTATTTTCAAAATTATTTTCTCTTGCACTTGTCATTATGATGGCGTAGTTTAATTATTTAATC